TACATCGGGTTTAGTTAAATTTAATATTATGTATATAAATGTATGATAGATTTAATATATTATGTATATCTGTATAGTATTATAGGTAGGTAAATCGTTCATAGATACATTTAGAAATCTTGTTTTTAATTTTACACTGGATTAAATTATATTAAGGATAAGCATTCATATTCTCGTAAAAAATCATCTTAAACTGTTCCTATAATAACTCTTTAATCATGTAAAATAATACCTATACATTTTTTTGTACCTACCTATAGTACCTATTCATGAATAAAAAACGTTAAGCAATACATTATTAATTATCTTTATAGGTATAAGGGAGGAAAAAGCGAGTAAGTGAGTGACTGTACATTATTAGATGTCTAGAGAGTCACTGTAGTGATGTATTAAATTTTAAATTTGAATTCGATAATATAAAACCACTGTGTACGAAAAACGATTCTGATCGAAGACTGTTTTTCAGCCTATTTAATAACTAAGTAAATTTTATGATATTGCTGTGATTAAATTAAACTATTTTACTAATAGGCATTAGTACAATATAGTACTCTATTAAATTCTATAAAAATTGCATTTGAATGTGTTATCGTGTTTAAACAGCGTATATATATACATATAATATAATTATGTACCTATTGGCTATTCTAAAAATTTATCTTTTAAAGAATCTACCCACAAATAATATTTTTAAATTACAACAAAATAACTGAAGTCGTTATGCTTGTTTTAGTTAGTCTTAATATGTAATTTATTCCAAATTTTAACTTAAAATGCCTGTACAAAATATGTGCTTATATATTATTTAGATTTTTTGGTTGTATAAACTATTTTTAATAATCCTTGTTTTAAATTTTCAATTCGTAGATAAAATTATTAAAATAACTTCTTTTATAAATTTTTAACTCAAAAAAATTTACAAACTTTCGTGGTCTAACTTCTACGTTCTTCTAGTTTTTTTAATTTCCTCTAACAACAACTTATAAGGAACCTTGTTTTACATTTTCAAGTTTTTTGACCTAGCGAACATTTTTTTATCAACATTAATTTAAAAAAACTAATAATAATCGAAAAATTCATTTGTCTATAAATCATTCAACGTGAGTAAAAATGTTTTTAAAATCTCATGGTATACCTATAGGTATACATAAAATGTTAATATAGATATTCACTGAACATTTTATGTATCTAAAGTCATTTTTTTAGAGTTGAACTAAAAACAAAAATTGATTTTATCAAAAACTGATTTTGAGTTTAAATTGTATAATATTTGTCTTCAATTTTTTACTTTTAATAACCACTTGTCATTTTACATTCATATTATATTAAATATTCTTTTAAATTTGGGCTTTTAAATATATTATATTTGTATTGATGGGTATTGAAAATAATCAATCATTTTGTATCTAAAAATGTGTTTAGTTTAAAATGCCAGCAACAAAAATTCACTCTAAAGATGATTCATTGGAGACCGGGAAACCAAAATCTTCGACTATAAATGTTAACCGTTGTCGCAGTACAGCGACTTATAGAGAAGACGATTCCGAACCTACAGATGTGGAAATGTGCCAATGTTCATCAGTTCCTTTGCGATTAGAAGGAAATATTTTATTGAGAAGCATGGCTCCCAATCGAGGAATGATACACGTGAGTGTTATTATTAAACTGTAAAATTTTTTTTTAGGTTAGTTAGGTACTGAATTATTATCTGAAAATTCAATTTATGTAGAGTTGTACAAACATGCAGTGTAGGGAAATAAAATATATCATACTTAGATTTTTAATGGATATATCTCATGAATAAAACCATTTTAAAAATTAAGTTTAGTACATATGTTATGTATATCTGCACAGTGACATGCTCAGGAATTTTCAATGGGGGGAGGGGATATATGTTATAAGTAATAATCAGGGTTGGGATTTTATAGCACTTAAAATCTCAAAAATATGTGCTATACCTAGTATTACTTTAAACAACTCTTAATAAGTGCTAAAAATATACAAGGTTGAAAACAATAAAATATGCAGCATTTGGAATTTCAAAACAAGGTATTATAAGTATCAGTTAAGGCGAGACAAAGAAATAACCAAAACACATTCAACCGAAAACATTGCAAAAGTATACTATAGTCTGTAGGTATGATGAGTACATTAATCGAGTAGTCATAAGTATTAATAAACTATACACAAATACACAATACACCTAATGCTTTCAACAATAGTTCGATTTAATCACAGATGTAAATGACCAAAAATGAGCTCATCAAAATTAGCAAATAACAAAACTACAAAAGTTTAAAATCAAAACTAAATATAGGTACCTAGCTAATACAAAATGATATGTCAGAACGTCCGTATAATCGTTCTCTTTTAATTAATCTATGTTTACTTTTAAAATTAGACAATAACCAAAAACGCTTGCATTAAAATGTTATTTCATAAAATATGACAAATTTTGAATAAAAAAAATCTCAAAAATTCCAGAAAAAGCACTAGAATTTAAAAAAATCTCAAAGTATGCAAAATAAAATGTTTCATTACAATTCTCTGAATCATGAAACAAATGTTAAGCTTACTCTGATATCTTTCAGCATTTTATAAGAAATATGCAAATGCTATGAAATCCTAACCCAGAACCCTAGTGATGCATTAAAATTAAAATTGTGGTGCTAAAGAACAAAAGACACAAATAAGAAAATTTGAGGAACAATGTGGGGATATAACCCTTACCACCCTCTATAACTCCACTGACCACTGTATTTATGTGCTACCCACTAAACATTTTATGTTAGGGAACGGCTAACATAATATCTTTATACGAAACATCACATTGCAATGTCATTAAGATATTTTGTGGATGTTTAGTTTTAATTGTCTCATAATTATAAACATTAATTACTTTTCCTATAACTAATAATGTACATTGGCACAACTAGATCAACTAGATCTTGCATGTGGGGCAGAGTCTATAAGTACTAAACACGAATTCCGAGATTCATTATTTTTCATTTAGGAGGGCTAAGGAATTTTTTTTTGGAGGGGAGAGTTGCGCCTTAACTGATGTAGGTATAATATTAAGATCGAATTTTAATTTATAATGACAAACATATTAATATTATATTTGTGTATAATATAAATGTTGTACGTAACTTTAATTCAAATACATCCAGGTTACCTACTTATAAATTATAATTTAAACTATAAACATTCCAAAGAAATCTTTCTATAGTTTTCAACTTTCAATTTTTAAATTAAAATTCTTTTAAATATAATGTATATATTATTATTTTATTTTAATACAATAACTCAAGGAATAGATTTTAGAATAAAAAAATGTGGAGAAGTTGGTTACCAAACTATTGTATTTTTTCTTTTTACCTAACCTAACCTAACATTAGATGAAAGCTTAACATAACACAGTAGTGTTTAACCCATTTGTATTGGTACACACGTACGACATAGAACATTTTCGTTCACTAGTTTCAATAGTGTGCTGTTAGTTTTGATATTAGAGTGAATTGGCCTATTATAACAGTCAAGACCGTAGCCAGAAAAATATTTAGGGGGGGGGGTTGAGTATAAATATGTTACATTATATAATAAAATATGAAAATCAAGGCTTTAGCCAGAAATTTCGGCAGGGACTGTTTGTAGTCATCCTATTTTACTAAGTTTAATTAAAAATATATTAACCTAGGTTTCTATATATTATATTGCTATTATACCTATTACCTATACTAATATAGTAATTTATCTTTTATGTTACTATAGTAAGTAAGTAATACGGTATGTAATAATAGCCAATAGATAATAGCATAGAGTTAATCTAAACTGTGTTGTAAAAATGTTATTACGTAGGGTAAAATATAATAATACTATAACCGAATAATCCAGCTTCACCCACGTGTAGTTTTTTTTTGGGGCACATCCTGTGACCTATATAGTATATTGTATATACGCAACACAGGTGTATCTCGGTTTGAGTGTATCTTAGTTCTAGTGCATTTCAGTTCACGGAAAAATCGGCGTCACTGTACCCAGTGGTTATAGCACCGTAGGCTCGTAGCTATAGATTTTTTAAAAGGAGGGGATGCCAATAAAACATTTTAATAAGTATAATATTTCTATTGCTACATTATATTATTTTATTACATATCAAATATTCATATTAATTATTATCATAAGTACTGACGATACTCATAAATTATGTACCTAATTGACTATGAAATATAGACGTATACTGATATAGAAAAATATATTCACGATGGGGGGGGGGGAGGAGTAAGCTTTGCGAAATAACTTCTTTAATCAAGACCATGTAAACTCGATGACTTGATGTATGCTTGAACCTGATCTGAACTAGCAACCAATGGCAGCCACTTATAAACAAAAAATAGTTTCAATTTCCACCCTGAATCTCAAAATCCTTATTTGAGGACCTCTTTAAAATGCAAATTTTAGAAAATTATTTCTTAATGGCTCTACATTATAAAACGGAACTAGTCACTGACCAAATTTCATACTCATACCTTCAGTAGTTCCGGCTAGGCGATGATGGAAGGTCAGTCAGCCAGGACAAGTTATTTTATATGGACGAGTTTGACGAGATAGATAAGTAAAAATGTCTAGTCCTCTACATATATATTTTACATATATATTTTAATTCTAGCAAAATAACTAAGATCGTTATTCTCTGTCTAAATATTAAATTTCGTCAAAATTAAATTTTTAAATCTTTTTTTATTAATAAAAAACAATATTTGAGCACCAAAACAATGGAGTTTTAAAATTATCATTTTTATATTTCCCAAATTTATTGACCATTGTGAATGCCCGAAATTCCTAATTTGCCTGTAAAACTGCAACATGTATACATTTTATACATTTATAATAGTTCATATAATACATTATGCAGCTTACTGATTATTTTAATATTCACGTATAATCTTATCTTACTATATAATATTACTGAAAAATAAATAATTATACATTATATGGATTTCTACTGTATAGCAATTTACCGTGTGGTATAGCAAACAATCCACAATGCCTTTGACGTATTTGATTGGCATACCATTTGGTTGGCTGTTGCTTGGCACATTTCAATATTTTGTGTGTATCGTCATTTTGGGTGACAGTTTCTTAGACCCATGGTATTTCACGTGTGCTTGGATAGTGGAAGTAATTTCTACGCTCCCCGTTATTATGATTATAACGATGATCAAATGTTTGTACGTGCAAGTGGTAAGTGTGCAACATTTATTTATGTTTTCAAATTATTTCGGTATATTAAACATTTTATTTGTTATGTCAAGGTTGTAAATATAATAAAAAAGTTATGTGCTAATAATATATAGGTACCTATTACACAAATTAAATAATAACATATTTTGAATTTCTTATTATTTTCGTTTAAAAAAGGTAAATCTTTCACGAGAACTTATTTTTATAAAATGCAGATAATGTGTATATTAGGTTAGGTTAGGTTATAGGTTAACAACTTCAAAAATATTTATACGGAGTGATCCATTTAACGTAAGACTCTCATCATAAGATTCGACCTGCATGTATGTAAACTGTATATAAGGTAAAAAATACTTAATCTAAAAAATGGTTTTTTAGATTTAAGACTGTAATAATTTTATAGTAGCTTTAAATAATTGTTTAAATTAAAGTAATTATCTTAACTAGTGAGCATACAGTGTGTTTAACGAGAAAGGTAACAAGAAATATCACAAGACCCATGTCACTAAATTTCAAAATGGGATTTTTTTACTGCATTTAAGGCTTAAGAGGACGGAGCTGTGTTGTTAACGTCTTACACACGTATGACATAGCAAATTTTAATTCACCAGTTTCCGTAGTATGATTATGTTAGTATTGATATTTGATAATATAGTGAATTGAGATATTCTACAATTTGAATACAAGGTTATTATCAAGGGTCCCACTTACTCTTTTATTGTTATTATTAGTTTTAAGTAAGTTATACTTATTTTAAAACGTACAGTTTCGTAAAGACCATAACTTAATTAAAAAATAATAATAATAATAGGTATCAATAAAAGGCTAAAGGGGACATTAGATAATAATCTTACATTTAAATTTTATAATAGATAGGTAAATTCACGTTAATATCAAAACTAACAGCAGACTATTAAGACTGGTAAACTAAAATTGGCAAAATAACAATTTATTTTTTTGAATTGTATCCTGATTTTGAATTTGAATTTAAATTACTTAAATTTTTAAGCAATTTCGACTTTTGAGGTTTTTTCAAATTGACTTATTGGGAGATGAGTTTAAAATTTCGATTTATGAATTTTGTATTTGTTTATGGTTATTAAGTAAATTAAATTACACATTACAAATGTTAGTAAATAATTTTGTAAAAATAATGTAAATGTGCTTTACTTACGACACTACATCTGAGTTTTCAAAAAAAAACATACAAAATTTCATGCAACATTGTAAAATTGTAAATACCTACTAGATTTCCTGTTAAAATTACAAATACGTGTTGTTAATAATAAATGATAATTACAACATGCTTAAATTGAAACTTCAACTCACCTTCATTTCAGTACATCAATTTTTAAGACAGAGAAAAATATTATCAGTCAAAGTTACTGAAAAAGATTTAAGTTATTGAAACTCAAACTCAAAAGGAGGAATTACAATTTAAAAAAAATTTTTGTTGCATATCTATGGTTGGTATTTGAATTTAAATTTTTCAAAAATAAGTTAAATATTAAACTCTTTATGCAGTGAAATAACCCCAAATAAAATTCAGCGTCGTGCGTTCAAAATATTTCGTGTTCCTTTTATTGTCGACATACTGTATAGTACCTACGATTATCAACTTGTATACCCAATGGCCAATACCCATGTCGTATGTGCATAAACTACATTTAAATGCTGATAACTATAAATTGAATAGGTTTATTAAGAAATAGGTAGGTAATAAATATTTTTAGAACTATTAGGCATCTAGTTTTTATCTTTTTGGTTTAAAAAATAATTAATCCTTTGCTTGAAAGGTAAATATAATATCTAATTCAGTATTAATAAAGTTTTTTATTTGTTAATAAGTTTGATAAGACTTTGATAATACTTGAGTTAGAGGCTGTAAACCCTACACATAATACGTATATAATCTTAAATATTTTTAATGAATACCTGATTAAAACTATAACGGTTATTATATTTTAAATAGTAAACTATTATTAGGTACCTATACTTACTTAGGTATTAGCAATAATTTAATAAATATACTTTTAAATAATTTGTTTATATAATTTTTTTTTAAATTAATTAGTACCTAAGAATTCAATTCAAATCTCATATAAAAAACCCTTTATTTTATGTTTTTATGGAATTATTTTGATTTACAACAGTGGCAACACAAATATACTTAAGTAAAAAAAGTAAAATATTAATTATAATTGTTATTTTAGGAAATACTGGAACACTGTGAAAAAGTTACATGGATTGGTTTTACATTTTTACTTTTTCAAGGGTTGGCCATTATAATACTTCTGCTTCCAGTTAGCAATTTATTTAAATACATGTTTGGCGATTTTTCACGACCGATAAATTTTTTTATTTATTGGATGATGCTAGCTTTTCCACATATCATAATTTTATGCTTTGCAACATTTGGTTGTTCTTCAAAGGTACATACAGTTAACACGCAATCAGTTGGAAATGTCATTAATCATTGAAGGGTAATTTGGTATAATTATTTATGATGATATTGTTATTCGATGCCTAATTAATAATGTCTTAATATTATCGAACTAACATTTTTATCTTGGTAAATAAATTATTGTACTACTAAGTATTCTGTTTTATCATGATAATATAATATAAAATCTAATTAAAAATAAATTTATGTTTTTTATGACATTTATGAAAAACATACTATGTGTAAGGACTAAGGTTATCATATAAACATAATGCTTATGCTTACATAATTTAAATTCATGTACCTCTACCTATGTATTGATTTTTTTTAGGTTTTTTAAAAACGGGAGTGGTAAACTGGGTCCCAAATAATTGGGTGGATATTAGTGCTAGGTAAATTGAGTCCGGAAAACTTAAATGTGCTAGGTAAATTGAGTCCCAAGTAATAATATTTTTCGAAAAAATAATTTATAAATACCGACGATAACTTAAAAATAAAAAATCTCTACATTCAATGAGTACTGTATAGTGACTATAGTCACCAATTAGTGATTATCGATTACCTACCGATTTGACGATAGCGTTTGGAAAGACCTAACGAGCACTAAAATGATCACACTATATTATCCGTTTATCGATTATCAAAAAAACGTATCGTCAAATAATACGTCAATTACACCGATGACTATGACAACAAGTCACCGGTTGTAGTTCAAATGTTCAATTTCAAAATTATAGTTCTTAAAATTATTTATTACAAAAAACTGTGTGGTTTATAACAATGGATTTAATGACAAGTGAATGAAACAATACAATTTTTATAGTTGACGGACATAAATTTCTCTGTAAAAGTGGGAAACAAAATGTGCTTTTTGGAAACTTATTCGGGTCTCAGTTTACCTATACCCTTTTCAGACCTGGGACTCAGTTTACCACAAAAATGGTACTTCGGACTCAATTTACCTAGTCCCTTTAAAAATGTACACATTGTTTGTTTGTTGACCTGGTGAAGTTTATTAACTTCAAAAGTTTCATTAAGATCTCATAATATATAAATTGAAAAATCTGACACGAATTAGAATTGTTGCTAGGTACTATTTGAATATTTTTATAAGATACGAAAAACTATGACATGTTTTTTAAAATTTTTCCTACCTAAATAGTGATTTTAAGAACTTTTTTTTTATTAATGTGAAGTATCTATTATCTATTACATTTTTTTTATTATTGATAAAAGATGACCTTTGGTAATCAGCTATTGGGTTAACCTATATTAATATTATTATTAGTTATTGGTTACTATACATTTACGAAAATAGACACAACATTAAATTTTGATGTAAGCAGAGTATAATATAGAGGGGTACAAAAATACACCGTATATCATACAAATACACTCACTGCTCGACTTGGAAAAATTAAAATAGGGGACTGTGCATACTTTTAAAAAATAGCTTCCCCATCACTTGTTAAACGTTACTGAGCCCACATCCCTAATACCCCTATTTAAATCATATTAAGAACATATTAATAATCATATTAATCATATTAATCAATTAAAAAAAATACAAATACAAATTTATATAATAGATAATTAGTATAACTACTGTACATATTATATTAAAGTTAAACTAAAAATGATAATAAAAGTAAATAAATGAATAGTTTAGTAATACTTAGTTAATATTAACTAACTTATAGATCCGTGGTTATGAAATAATCCATAAGACAAATTATGATGGTATATCTCGAATTTTGATAAAAATGCAGAATAGTGTAGAGTCCAGTGAGTTCCCCTTAAAAATAAAAGTAGGGTTCTCTTAAATTTCTGTAAAAGAGTTGATGTACTCCGTCTCCCTTCGTCTACCCCACAAGTCAAGCACTGCATTTAAAAAAAAAAACATATAAATAGATAGGTAATTACAGTTTCATAATATAGGTAGGTACCGTTATAATTAATGGCCGTTGTAATAAGCCGTTGAAATTATAATGTAGGTACCATGGTTGAAGTATGCGTTTAAAATTACTTTAGGCCTTTATATAGTAGGTACGTACAAAGAAATAGCAATGATAAATTGGTTAAAAAAACGAATCGTAATATTATATAATATGGTATAGTAGGCACTAAATAATTTGTATTAATTATTAGTCATTAATTTGTTTTTAATAAGGAATATGATGGGTATCTATGCATATTTTTATACAGGGCATTATATCTATACGGTTCTATATTGCTTTTGGCTATATTTAGTACATTTTTTTTCAGATGTTTAGATCGTTTTCGAGGCATTTCCGTTACGCTAATAGCTGGAAAAAGCATGAAACTATACAAGTACATTTGGAAACAAGTAACCAGAAGACAGCAATAAATAACGATAATAATATTGAACTACAAGAACTTAATTACCACCCAATATTTCGAACTAAATAATAATAATCTACAATTTAATATGTTAGGTACCCACCTAAGTGTTTTTTTTATTATATAGCAAACATATTAGGTAGGTATTTTTTTTGTAATAATATTTTGTAAAATGTAAATATATCGAGTATTTAGTAATTTGTTAATATTAATTATCTATTGGTAGGTACTTACTATGGAATCATAGAATATACAGTATCTACTTAACTAAATCGTCTTAGCCCCCACAACTTTAAACTTATTAAAATATATTCTACGGAGAATGGACTATTAGGTATATATGCTTATAGTTCATAAAGCTTAATAATTCAGAAATTACTGATTTCAATTTTATTTTATATGTATATTGTATACTGACTATTAGGATTTTTTCAAGGGTGGTGTGCAGACACCCAAAACGGTATATACTATATACTATATACAATATTATAGTGCTGTATAATTACCTATAATCTATATTTTACGTACCTACAACCTACCTATTGGCAATTGGCTATTACAATTTACAATAATAGATAAATTGAGTTTAATAAAATTGTATTTTCGATAAAGTTCTTGTAAATGGTAACCGTACACCTATATATTGCATACATATGGTTAGATATAACATATTAATGTCGGTATTATATTATAATAATATGTAGAAAATGGAATAGGTTGATTAAATGTGAAATTAGTAAGTACCGAATACCTATAGATATTGTTATATATACAGTGGTATAGCTAGATACACACTAAGAGTGTGACACTACGCAAATGTTGATTCCCCTCGCATCGCTAATATATGATCTCCGTAATATTAACTAGGTATTTTATTGCGAAATTTGGATGACTTTAGACTTATGAGTTATGTTTACATATAACATGAGTATTATAATATTTCAAGCATATATATTATAGATATGATAACCTATACTATATATCGGTTATAACTTATAGCCTATAGGTAATTACGTAATGTATGCTAGTGACAACAATAGGTAGTCAAATAATCGATAATAATATTATATAATTATGCAATATTTGTCTTAAGCGAGTCACTGCGTAGAAACATATAATATTATATTAAAGTATCTTGTAAATATATTAAGCATATACCTACCTACCTACATATATTATCATATTTTTATGTATATAGATATCAAATATGACTTTGTCACCCAATCCAAGTTCTCATCAAGTATAATATAGGTAGATACTTATTTTATTATATTTTTATTACCAATCGGCAATTTAAAAATACGACAACAGGTGCTTATAGAGTTTTTAAAATATTATTTTTTTTTAATTGGTTATGTATTAATACATATTTTTAAATTTTGTTTTTGTGTAATAATATAATATATAATGATAGGTAAGTGATATAATTACCTATATAAAGTTAAACAGAGCATACAAAACCGTTTCTAAGTAATTGTTTGTAGTGAAAATTAATGCACTATTTGGGGGATCCCCTTGGCTCTCATTCATTGTTAGATAATATAAAAAACACCATAGATTAGCAACATTTTAGCATAGGTACCTAATACCTATGAAGTTTTATAAAGTTTTTTTAACCTACTGTATTATAATAACATTCTTAATAGTGTCTATTAGGCATTTAGGTATTAGCTGCAATGTACTCGTATTACTCGAGCCGATCACAATTTTTAAGACTTCAAAGTTCCAACAGCTCTTGCCACCCATGGTACTTTGTATACATTTGTGAATGAGTTTATATAAAATGTATATTAATATTTGATATTAATAGTTCTATATTTTTATGTAAATAATAAGCACAAAAATAAATAATAATAATGATTATTGATTAATTTATATAATTACCTACCTACCTACCTAACTAATCGAAAAATAATTTTAATTTGTTAGTCAGTGAAACAGATCAGACAACGATGTGTAGCTGTATAACAAAAATAATACAAGCTACATAGTAGGTAGATGACGTATCTATACATATTTCAATAAATTATTATTATTACTTACTGATATGGTGATACGAGTTTTCAGCCTTGATATATTGAAATTAAATTAATATAATCTTTAGTCTTCATTTTTCAGAAAATGCATATTAAAAACAGTAACTCTGGCAACGATTAGCTGTTAAGACTATTTTATTTTTTATTATCGATAATTTGGGTAATTCGAAAACAAAATTCTTTTAGAATGCTAATTATGGGTAGTTACTAGATGGACATTTTCTCCCCTACCATTTTTAGTCATAACTTTATGTAAACGAAATTTTCTACTCTATCATAATATGCTTCGTTTTAAGTATACTAACTTTTGAATAGGGGAGACTCGGTCGAAATTTGGGGAGACAAAGAAAATTAAAAGTAAATAAATATGTGAACATTTTATACGTGTTTACCTAGGTACTCTTCTTACTTGTGTTTGTGCAGTTATAGGCATATAAATGTATAATACATATATATAATATATATTTATATATATTGTAAAATTAATAATTATACATACCTAATATACTTTTTCACTTTGGCAGTTATATATTCTATTATTACTAGGTACTATATTACTATAATACATGCAGATGTGAAAATGTTTAAAATTCGTGATTAAAATGTCCTACTATCCTTTAATGATGGGTGAGACTGTGGGAGACAATTAACATAATCTTGATCTATGGCTCATTAAAATTTTCAGAGAACTTCCAAAGACGACTGTGACTGTACTAACTTTAAGGCGTCTTATTTTAATTGTTACTAATACAGTATTATTATTTATTAAACACATATATTTTTTTCGAAGAATATGGTTGATTACTGGCGCGGGGGTATTATACATAATGACATATTATAAACCCACATCATTCATTATATAAGGGTGACTACCACTTAGTACTGGCTTCAGTTCCAACAAAAAAAGTTCGATGTTTGAGTCTATGATCATATTTTTATTTTTATATTTAAATATGTTGGCGTTATACGTAATAAATTATAACAAATCTATAGCAAGTATTAGAAACAGTAACGTGCCGCCGTATGAATAATTGTCAGAGGTTTTGCGCAGTGCCACACCCATTGAGTTTAGAAATCGACAAGCAAAAACTATGTCGTGCGCAGCCGCTGAATCACATTATTAATTAAACTATACATAGCCATGACTACGCGAACTGGCGAAACGGAACCGCAGCTGCAGCAGCCGTTTTTTTATCGATCTCGTCGTTCTACGTTCTTCTAGAATGTTCTATACGGCGGCGGCCCTTCCACTTCGCGCACACTCACAAACGCCGCCGCCGCCGCCGTCAACATCGCTGATACCTACTGCTGCGTAGTTCATTTGCGGTCCGCACTCTGAAGCTCTTGGACTGTGGTTGACCGTTCTCTTGCTGGTGCACCTAGAACAAATATGGCGGACGGTAAGCGTGATTATAAACTAAAACCGTATATTGTGTAATAATATCTCTTTACGATATATTTTATACATTTTATTCGCATTGTGCACACGCTTTATAAAGTTTTGTTACAGAAATGGACGTCCGAAAACCGAAAACGACATCCGCCCGGCCATCACTCGGTGCGGGTGCAGATCACTGGCCTCGGAGCTTTTGCTTTGTCACGCCCGGCTGACTGACGGACTCGATTTTCGTAAGTATAATTTATTTATTACATTAATCATACGAATAAAATATTAATTATATTACAATAATACATTGATTTGTCGTTAATTAATTACCTACTTACATATAACATGTTATAATTCAGCACGTATGATATTAGTATATTACACGTGGTATGCCTACATTTACGTTGTAATAAATTATTATTAATTACTAACATTTATTGTTCTTAATGTTGAAATACCGAGGTTATTGAGTAATTGTGTGGTAACCCTACTTTTTTCTAATGACGTGGCGGTTTTCTCAAATATTGATCGCTGAACTTTCGAGTTTGCGCACGAACCGCGGCGCTGCACACAAAGGACCCGCCCCACCGCTACTACACCGGTGTAGGTGATTTGGCAACGTCGGTACACTAGCGCGAAACTAGTCCCACTCTCTCCTTCCTCTCCCCCCCTAGGTCGAGCATTGATCGTATAATAATAATAATAATACGATTGCGATTACATGGCCTTCGGATTTTTTCTTACGTTTATACAGCGTGTATCAAAACGGTCCGACAAAATTGAACGTCGAAATTTGAATACGTCCTTTTTCACCATACCCATTACGCTCCGTAATAGCGATTTTTTATGGTGAAATTGGACACGCCCAATGCTTTATTAGAACATGACTAATCCGCTGGTGTCTTCGCCTACACTATTTCAGCCACAACGTAATAATGGGAGTTTTTAATATTAATTTTGTTAAACATGCAAGGTCGAGTCAATCGATAAAAAACAAGGCTACGACTCATAATGTAAAAAGCACCGTTCATGTTAAACCATGAAAAATATGTTTATTTTTAAACGACCTTGTATTTTGTTTATTTTATTTGCCAGCATGAAATCAACTTAATCGTCAATAATGAAAAAATATTATATAATCTCCTGTTATCGTTTATGTGTAATTTTGACTATGTTGCCCAAATGTCTTGGTTATTGTTTAATTACCTACCTATTTCATATTGGCTTTATTTTTATTATTTGTTAAACAATCACTAAAGGCTTTGAAAGTCAATCATATATTTATTTTTGGACATAACTTACCAAAGTTATAGAATCATTACTTATTGTTAGATATGCTAATCATGTTCAACACTAACAATAAATTATTATAGGAATACTTACAATTTCACAAATTACTTATTTTTTTTATTATTAGTTTTACTATAATTTCTTTAGCTCAGAGTAATGATTGATTAGTGTATTAGTGTTTAATCTTATGATTAAATTTAAATACTAAGCATGCATCAAAAAATTTTTAAACAATAAAACAATATTATTAATATTACCATTCACACAACAAATTTAACATCATGTGATGCATTATATTATAATATTCATAATTTATATATTTGCATATGTCTTGCTATCTATATATAACTATACAGTTAATTATTTAAGAAAATGATTTATTTATTATATTATCTATTGACTGTAAAAATACTAAAATGATTTTAAAAATGATAACAATTTTAATTACTGAATAAATAGTAATAAACAGTAAATAATTCATTTTAGCTTATTAGTCCTTACATTCTCCTAAAATTCAAATTCCTATGCCATTTAACTTTTTTTTAGACTGTAAATTAAGCTAAGTATTTTGTTATGATATTGTCACACAATGGGCATTTTACTAATAAAACTATGCATCTATATTTATTGGTGTTTATACAACAATACCCTTGCAACAGGTCATACTAAATTGTATTTTCAGGCCCATACATATATGGGCCATTTTTAATGTATCTATAGGACAATTTGAAAAATTGCTATTATAATTGTATGAGTACATTTTTCTGATTTTGAAAGAAATGTACTTGTTTATCTAGTTGTTAAAGTATTTTTACCATTTTAATTATTGTATTTTTTAATGAGGAAAGTAGTAGATTACAACCTTTACTATGATAAATTATAGCCCTTGCCATTTTGTACGCTTATCCAAACCTTCAACACTTTTTTTGAAAAATCTACAGTTTCTTAAAGTACATCAAATTTTAAAGCACTTTTAACTTAACCTTGGATTAATTCCAATAATATTATAAATTGCTGAATAGTTTCCACATTGTGTATTTATGTTATGGTAGTTAAAATCTTCATACATTTGAGACTTCAAACTCTTCAAATATTTATCTCGATGAACACAACATTTAAAATGGTTCTATAATAAATTAGCCTAAAAGTTGACAAATGTTTTTTTGTGACATATTTATTAAATGTTTAATGGCATCAACTAATTATTTATGTATTTACAAAAAATTAACAATAATATATATATATATATATATATATAGTTCAAAGTGAATATAAAATATATAATCTGAATAAGTGTCCTAGTGTAAGGGATAAATTTCCTCGTTACCTACTTAATATACGCCATAGAACTAGATATATAGCTGCAACATCTTAAGATTGACCATTTTAAAGTTAAATAAGTAATTAAAAATAAATTCCATTAAATAACAACAAAAATAAATAGAAACTCGTTTTACAACTAAAAATTATACAATATGTACAGCAGAAATAATATAATATTCTAATAAAATATGTTTTGACCACATAGTAATATTACACGAGTAAAAAAAGTTTTTAGGTATCATAGTGACCATAGTTGTTATGTAGACAAATATTCACATACTTCCACCATACATTGAGTATACATTTTCATTCATCAAAACTTAATTTTATGTAAAACTAATAAAATTTGAATGTGTTAGTATAGTTACAAAAATGACAAAAATTGTAGATTTATATCATGTCAATATTTCAATATTAAGTGCAGGCATTAAATTAAATTATGATTATTTTTATTAAATAAATGTATAGGTTACTCAATATACCTAATAAAGTCATTCTTTACTTTCAGTATGATAATTTCAAATGGTATTGAAACCACTTAAACAGAAAGAAATATCAAACAGATGACAATAGTGATCAAAGATCTAAAATGTTCATCATTTGACCATAAAAATGTCAGAGAATATACGTGCACCGCAAGGTAATATTTATGAAAAATAAAAATAAATTTGGTTACCTTCTTTCATAATTAATATAATTTTAAAATATATTAAACAGCTTGATAGCTTATCAAAAATGTTCTTTCAATTTCTTATTACATTTTTTTATTAGGTAATTCATGAAATATCTTTCACAAAACATGATTAATATTCAACTGAAATTATATGTTGGAGATATGTGTTTTAGTTATATTTACAGTAGATTAAATAAAATGTAAAAATTCATAACATATCATCATAAACAACATAAAAACATATCATTGACCAATATTTTCAAGACTTAGTTTACCATGATACTTATGAATTCCTCCATAAATTTATGTTATATGATGGAGTGGTGCAATTAAAAAAATTAAATAAATTACAAAATACCTTGGTAGAGGTTATTTTTGGTAGGTAAAACTAGGTATAATAATATTATCTACTATAAATATTCTCATTTAAATTATGTACAAAAACAGGAATAGATTAATTTATAGGTTTTTTTATTTAAGTAATGTGATAAGTATCACATTAATTAATATTAACTATCACATTATCAATTCATTGTTGATTGTCCACTATTCATTGATATTTTGCTGAAAAATATACATAAATTGGCTAATTTAAGTTTTTTTTTGTTGCACAGGTGAAATTTGAATATGTGCATGCAGTCTCAATATGGTTATCTATGTTGTAAGTACGGATCTTATGCTTAATTTAAGGTAAGTACAAACATTACTTTATTTTTATACAAAATTTGGATTTTATAAGATACACTATTTTCAGTAAAGATAGAGGAGTGGGTTTTCATTACACAATTATTTGACCAATTGGATTGGTATATAGTATTGTGAATCCAACATCACGTCATTATTATTATTCAACCGTCATTACACAAAGGTTGGAAAACTTACTCCACAGTTAAACCCTGAGTTAGGTTGTTAATTCTAGGGTTTATTAGAAGTTTATTGTTTATTCATCGCCATAATTATTAGCCATGACCTGACCAGTGTTGAAGATTTATACTACTTCAACGCTTAACTATTTATATGTTGACTAAATCTTCGCTTGTCAAGAGTTTCTAAGGTATTCTTATCAACGAAAAACTTTGTTTAAATGAAGCAAAATTATAAAATAATTTTATTTTTAGTTCTATGTGCATCTAATGTGTTTTAGATTTTCCAAACCTCATATATTAGAAGTTGGAGTTAATATTTCTAATGGATGGTCCTTAAGATGAAGTGTTTAAAATTGGAAATGTGTTAAAACATTTAGACACAGCTGGATATTTTTGTATCTATTACTTTGTATTAGCAAAGAGGTTGGTGGAGTAACTGATGATCAACCCCTAATCAACCCCATCTAAGTTGCTGTAGACTCAGACGTGAAGTTAACTAGTGAAAAACAAACTATACTACAAACTATGATTTTGGCTCTTTAGTCTAGAGCCCCTGTGGGCTTGAAGTTGTCAATTTTTTTTTATGTAACAATTTATTTTCAACACAATTTTAAATCTGTTTGCCTAGTGTTTATCTAACATGAGTGCCTTCGGTTTCTTTCAAACCCTAAATGTATTTATTTGAAAATAATTGTAAACTAACATAACTTGATAGTAATCAATAAATACACAACTATTTGACTTTATACTATATTATGTATCAATATATCTATAATGTTGTCTAAAGGCATAATTAATATACTATCTTAGTTCTGTTAACTACCTATCTTCAATTCTAAAAAAATAATATACCTACACCTAATATATTTGACTTATTATCATTGTTGAAATACATGTATTAATAGAAGTTAGAAGTTATTGATGTGAGGAGTTGTGTTTGTAACTTTGTATTTTAATACATCTATATTTTTTTTTACATTAATATAACCAATTGTTTTATATAAATGTTGAATATTAATTATTTATGGGTTGAATAAATCTTAATATTTTTTAGAAACCTAGGGGAGCAAAAAAACGGTTGTCTATATTTTTTTAACATTAAATGTTTCTTATTGATAAGACGATTTAAAATTATTTCCTTATTATTTTAGAATACCATATAAATAATATCTTTAAGCATAATTTCATGCTGTTAATTATAAATAGTATTAGTATTTAAAGTTTGAGCGTTCAGTTTGGATGGAAAAAGCAAAGTTGTATCTATTTTTATCAGGTAATTAAAACTAAAAACAAATTATTGCAAGGTATTTTTTTTGGTATTAATATATTTCAATATCAATTTATTGATTAAGTAAAAATTATTATTCATACACGCCAAATTTAAAAATTAATAATTGTATCAATTGTTTGAATTGTTGCTTAACTTTTTTGGTAAAATTATAATATATTATAATGTAATGTTTATACTGAAAATTATTTATCATAAAAATATTAAATTAATTAATTTTAATAATTTTTGTAAAATCTTAATATGAATCATTAACAATCGGTTTTCAATTAATGTTTGGGAAGAATTTTGCTTGCAACAAAAACTATATCCCAGTATAAATATTTAACATTTTAAGTGTATACATTATTATATATATATATGTTTATATATATATTATTTTATTTTATTTTATTGGTGATTACTAGAACTTACTAACAGGTACTGTTCTTACTAACAGTATGCTGCCTTGGCATTTACTCTACATTATATTATGTAGTTAATAAAAATACAATTTCTAGTATTTATAAACACATTTTGTTCAATGGCTCTAATTTAGAAGAATGAATAGTGTATAACACGATTATAAGTTGTCAGGCTAAGTTATGAGATAAATTGCTTTGTATTTTCAAAAACTTATTCATAAATGAATTCAAAAACTTATCTAAAAAATGTGTTCACTAATTAGAGTAAATAAGTGTAGGGCTTTTGTCAATCATGCATGTTAATTGTGTAACTTAAATTGTTGTTACATACTATTAGTACATTTAAACAGTTTTTAACCATAACAGCGTATGAAGTTTTTGTTACCAATCAATTATTTGAGGGAAGCGATGTTTTTAAGATAAATAATTATTAATCTTTATAAACATATAGTACTTGATAATTTTCTGATTTGATGCTAAGATTTGTGATCTTAAATTGTGTGTTTAATCTGTTTAGTAGGTACTAAGTATTTTAAAACAGTGATTATCTTAGATGTATTATTATTTGTAAATGCTTCCTTTTTATATGGCGAGTACATTTCATTTAAATCTGAAGTAAAAAAATATGAAGTTTCACTTAGACTAATAGTGAAATATATAATTTAAAAATAAAAGGATATTGTTTAATATATAAATAAATATTTGTTATTGGACTTAAGTTTATAATATACCATATTTTTCATTGATAATGTGTATAAATAATTTGTAATTTAGGCATAGTAAATAGTAATTTATGATAATTAATAGCCAATTGGTCATTGAACATATTTTTAAGTAATTACAAGAATTTAAAAAAAATAGGATAGAGTACTATTACAGTTTATTTTATTTGCACGGGCTTTTTATTGTAGGTACCTATTAAATTGATCTTTAAGTGTTGTCTTTTGAATGGATGTTTATATTGTGGTGTCTACGATTTAAAATTATGATGATTGCAGTAGGTTGAATTTTTTCATAAAATTTGCTTGAATTGAAAATATTTACCCGGATAATGTTAAAAAGAAATAGTTAAGACTTATTTAATAATAATAAACAATATATTATGACAAACCTAATATAACTTATACATTAAAGCTTTACTTAAATACTAAATGTTATATTATCAAACTTAATAATTATTACCTTATATTAATATTTTATGTTCTATTTGAAATTGAAATTAATTTATATGTATTTACAACTAAACTATTTTTGTCAGCTTTTACATTATTTATAAATTGTTTTGTTATGTTTTATTCAACTTAATGTTTCGCTGGTAAATTGTTGTAGGTTGATTATTAAGTTTTAAATAGGTGTATTTAATTGTTGAGAGTTCCTTTTGATAATTTTTGAAGATGACTCATTCAAATATAGATGAAAATAGACATACTGTATTGTATGTTTATAGTTTAGTATTAATACATTTTTTTTTATGAGGTAGAGAATATTGTTTTACACATTCTAATCTAGTGAAAACTGATTAGTGTGTTGTTAAGACAAAGATTTATAACAAACTCTTATATTTATGACTTTTTTAGGCAGGAAATATGTAACTTAAATCATTATATATGGTTTAAGTTAAGGATTAAATATTAGTCAAATAAAGTAGTTTCTAGCCTTAGAACCTACCTCATACACATAGTTTTAAATATGTAGCCATTTAGATACCTACTTTTAATTTGTTATATGCAAATAAATTTTCTTAGATCAAGGTGACCATTTATACTTAGTATCCATCTATTTAAATTATGAGTTATCATTAAGATTATTTTATAAATGGAACCCAACATTAAAGAACCTATTTGAACTCTATAGTTGACTTATAACTTTTATTTACGTCTTAATTTGAATTTAGAATGTTTTGTTTGAAAGATAGTTTCTATAACTTATATGACTTGATATAAGGGTTTTTAACAATATTAGGTTATAAAATAAATAAATAATTCAAAAAAATTTAATTATATCTAAATCTAAATTGGGGAGCAATATAGTATAAAACTAAATAAACAATTTTTTTTTATCAAATTCAATGTAAGTTCAAGTTAAAGACTTCAAACCACAATATTTTTTTTAAAACAGTTAAATTATTAAAATATTCGGGTAAAATATGAAAATGTATTCCCTAAATCCTTATTTTTTAATTATATTTTATTAACATTTAATACTAATATTTTTATTTAGCTATCTACCAAATACTATAATACTATTCTACAGTAATAAACCTACCCATGTTCAGAATTTTATTAACTTCTAGCTTGAAATTTATAATTGTCTTATGAATATCAATTATTTAGTTAATGTAAGGATTTTTAATACATTTCAAATATATGTTGATCATATAATAATACAATTTAGGAAGTACCTTATGTTATAATAAAAGGAAATAGTCTGTGTATGTTATAAATTATAAGTATCTCATAAACTATATTATTTATATTTGGAATCCTATAAAAATAAGATTAATTACAGAAGTTGGTCCTATTAAACCTTTGTGAGGGGTGTGAAAGAAACTAGTAATTTGTAACTTATGGGGGCAAAGTAAAAATAATGTCTGTGGAAAAAATAAAGTGTAGGACTCTCGTAAAAAAAAATAAAAAAATAATCTAAAGTTTTGTTCTGAAATAGATAAGAAAACATAAAATAACCTATATGTACATGGGAATATAAAAGAAATAATTTTGTGATATCCAATCGTAGTTGGGGAATTTGTTACTGCTTGGTGTTTTTCATCTGTTATTTTTTTTATTATGTTATTTTTTAAATTTAATGGTATCATTTCTTCTATATGTTTTATAATAAATTGTTTAGCACTTCAAAATAATACCATTTATTTCTTTAAGAAAAAATTACACTTCATTTACATTCTTTGTTTGATTGATCAATTTGAGATCTGTTATAATTTAACACTAGGAAAAAAATCATTAAATAATACCTACAATATAATTAAAAACATTTTGTTTACTTACCTATCAAGGTCTTTTTAAATATTTTTTTGAAGGTTAGACTTCGGTGATTTAAGTAGTAACTCTTGAACTAATTAAACAATGACAATTATTTTTGGTTTATAAAACACAAGACTAAAAGATGTACGAGTAGGTCCTAACAAGTCAATATTTATATAGGCAATAAAAATGCATACATTTTATAAGTGCTATCATATGTTTTAATACATTATGTAATACGAAACAAAATAAGAAGTAAGCTTTAATTAATTTAACCATTTATTGAAACAATTTATTTTTGATAAAAAACTGTTAAAAGATAGCCATAATTTGTCACAGGTTTTATTTATTTAAATAATTAATAATAAATATTTTAAACAATCTTATTAATTTTTCGTATAATAAACTATTAACTACCTATAATAATGTTTTTCAATGGATTTTGTTCAACTTTATATAATATATCTAAAATGTAAGTCAGAACATTAGTTGTATACAGGTGTAAAATATTACTTCCATAAATAAATTATATTGGTTCATGTAGGAGAATACTCAGTAAGTCCCAGTATTTTTATCTTGAGAAATAAATTAGTAATAATAATAATAATGTATATATAATAACACAACAATTTGAAGATCATTCAGATTTCTTTTGTTTTAAATATTACAATTTCAAATATTGGTACCTATACTAATTTATCTACATGAACGTCATTTGAAGACGTATTCAAATTAAAATTGATGTATTTTTAAAATTAATAGTTTATTAATGGAACACAAAAAACAGGAATAATATTGTTAAATATATTTATAAATATCTTTTAGATATAAAATCACATTAATAATGTTAGGCAGGTATATATAAATATTGTTTCTGATGATGGAAAATATTATCTTTTATTAAATACATGATTGTTTCATTATAAAATGTCTTAACATGCTAAAATTGTAAATTAGAAACTGAAATAATAATATAATATATTTATTATATTTTATAATAATATTATAAAAATGTATAATAAGTATTTAATTTATCCACCTATTCAATTTTCAAATGTTAATAGGTATTTTGCACCATTAATTAGTCAATTAAAATCAATATGTGAAATGCAAATAAAGTTGTCTTAATGTAACTGTTATGTTTCATTTATTGGATTAAATTAATCAAAGTTATGATACGTTTGATAAAATAT